GGGGGGGGGGGGGGTTGTATATTTATATATATTTGTTACTGTAAACACAGAGTTTAACCAACGAGTTTAATTATTCGATGATTACTTTATATAAACTTTTGAAGGCAAACTATAAATTATTTTTCGTTCGTTTTTTTGGGCGGTGGAAATCTATAGGACCGGGGGAAAAGCCCCTTGGATAATCCGGCACTGTTACTATGGGTAGTTTGGGGTCTTCTGCATCACCAAATTATTCTAAAATATAAATTTTCGAGTCCAACAGTGCTGTTTTCCAAAACCACTCTTAAAGATAACTTACGCAAAAAAATGTAAGGTTTTGACACCGCAATTTAAATCCATAGAATCTCAATTTGGAAAGTGTTTTATGAACTGTCGAAGCACCAGACAATTTGATGTACATTACGTCCTACGCATGACCTCTAAAACTTGAACTTTTTTGCCATAATAGCCTTTTACGTATAATTTATCTGCAGACGCCAGATTTTATGCATGATTAAAAAGTTTAAAAATTATGGCCAGTCCAAGAAGATGCACGACGGAGTGGGCGACAGCGAATCCAAATAACGTGTTCTGCGCTGGGCTTCTAGCTACGGTCCTGCGTGGCCAGCCCGACGATTTAGTCCCGCTATACAAATATAGACATGTTTACTAGAAATACATGCATGTATCAACCCCTCGCCCATATTTTCCAAACATTGTATTAACACAAAGTATTCCGAAATGGCCAGCACTCGTTACACTGTACGTGGGCTCGCGTCCAAGTGTTTCCATGACAAGTGACAACACGATATTTTAGTTTAAATTTTCAATTTTTTATATTTTTTATACAAAACGGCAAAAAATTGAAAGATTAGTATTTTAACTATACAACAATGAATTTCCCAAATGTATACTGTAGGTATGTTATTTTGCATTTTGTGAGCTTTAATTTAATGAAAAAATTTAACTTGAAGTGCTTCGTAAAATGTTTTGAAATGTTCATTCATCTAAAACTACATTTGCCGATGAACTGTTATTACTTATTAATGAAACCTAATAAGTTCAAATTGTTAGGTAACTTCAGTTCGGTTTTCAAATCAATTTCCTCTCCTTTGCATTTTAAGTTATGTGGAATTAGTACCCTCGCCCCGGGCTTACGCCCGGAACGGCGCTCCGCGCCGATGGCTCGGGGATAAACTATCAACACAATCAATTTCTAAAGAAATTAATAATGATAATGAGTTGAAATTTGCATAGCGGGACCAAATCGTCGGACTGGCTACGCCACTGTCCGAAGTGGTTTATTGATTTCACGAGTCCTATACAATACACCCTTTCGAAAATTACGTCACGCATACTTTTTGGTCTTGGAGCCTCGCTCTCATTAGGTAATTACGCAAGGTGATTGGCTCACGATTCATGAGAGCCAGGCTTCCAGGGTGTATCGAAAGGGTGTATTACGGCAAAACCAAACCTTGTGTAGTTAAGATATGGGAATGTTGGAGAACACGAGAAAAGCGTTTATAACACGGGGCGACAGCCGAATGTTGAACCACGGGCTTTAGGACAAATTCAATTTGACAACAACAGTATTCTATCTAACTAGCAGTTAAAATAAAGTGTACGGCACCTGAACTGTTCAATATCTTGCTTCTATATCCATAAAACATTTACATATATGCAAATACTGTATATTTACAAAATCCACCATATTTATTTACATTAAAACCCAAGCTTTCGCGGTTCACACGAAATATTACGTCGCTTATCTGGTGATTTTCATTAATAATAAGAGAGTAGGATCATCGAATTATTTAATCCTTCGAAGCGCGAGGAAAGCATCACTTCCATATATGGCACAAACGTGTCCCCAACTTCCTTATATGGCACAAACGTGTCGCCAAAAACAGTTTATCGAAGGCGTTATGATGTCATAAGATTTCTCCCGATTGGAACGATTTGAACAGGTCATGTGGTACAGAACCCAGACAGCTGATTGGGTTAGCGAGTGACAACGCCCACTTTAATCCTACCCTCTTATTATTAGTGAAAATCACCGACATTAATATTTCGTGTGAACCGCGAAAGTTTGGTTTCTAATGTAATAAATATGGCGGATTTTGAAAATATACAGTATTTGCATATATGTAAATGTTTATGGATATAGAAGCAAGGTATTGAACAGTTCAGGTGCCGTACACTTTATTTTTAACTGCTATTTAGATAGAATACTGTTGTTGTCAAATTGAATTTGTCCTAAAGCCCGTGGTTGAACACGCTTTTTGAGTGTTCTCTCAACATCAACGAGTGCACACTATAAAACTCTATAAAAGACTAAAAAAACTTATGAAAGAATAATTAACACATTATGTTTAAGGGCTTCACATAGCAATGCTCATTGTAATTGTTATTCAGCACTGCAGCTTAATAAGAAATAGGTTTGGATACTATACCTCGAATTTGTCTCATTTCACGTTGGAGTTGTTGTGTACTACTTTCAATTTCCGTGATTTTACGTGCCAGTCGTGGTGTAGTACTACTTTCAAGTTGCCTGATTCTACGTTCCAGACGTGGTGTAGTACTACTTTCAAGTTGTTTGATTCTACGTGCCAGTTGTGTTGCAGTAGTATTTTCAAGTTGCCTGATTATACGTGCCAGCTGTGCTGTAGTCCTACTTTCAAGTTGCCTGATTCTACGTTCCAGTTGTGGTGTAGTAATACTTTCAAGTTGTTTGATTCTACGTTCCAGTTGTTGTGTAATACTACTTTCAAGCGTCGTGATTCTACGTTCTAGTTGTGGTGTAGTACTACTTTCCAGTTGCCTGATCCTACGTTCCTGTTGTGGGGCAGTATTATTTTCAAGCGTCGTGATCCTACGTTCCATTTGTGGTGCAGTATTACTTTCAAGCGTCGTGATTCTACGTTCCAGTTGTGGTGTAGTACTACTTTCAAGTTGCCTGATTCTACGACCCAGTTGTGGTGTTCTGTTTTCAAGTTGTACGATTCTACTTTCTAGTTGTGGTGTCGTACTAATTTCAAGTTGCATGATTCGATCCTCCAGTTGTGTTGTGACATTGCTTTCAAGCGTTGTAATTCTAAGGTCCAGTTGTGGTGTCGTACTACTTTCAAGTTGCTCAATTCTACCTTGTAGTGGCAAATCTCGTAAACTGACTTAGAATGGAAACAATACAAGTTCATAAAGTGGAAGAATATAGGATTACGCAGTTGGGTGAGTAGGCAAAGAAACGTGATAATGTGCATCTTCGCTATACGAAGATATACCTTAATTATGGTTATGGTTCATGACTATAGTGATATTGTTTCGCACGTGCACATAGTATTTTAAAGTTTTTTTAATTTTTCGACGATAATCATATGATTTTTTGAGTATCGTTTAATTGTACTTCGTGAAAAAGCAATATCATTCAACAATTTTGAAAAGTATAAGACAAAACACAATCCGCAGATTAGTATCTTAAAACTCTAGATATGAGTCAAAACAAGACGAGAATGAATTTTTGATATTTTAATTTAATTTAAAAATGGGTATAGTAACAATGCGAGTCAAGGAGTTGCGAGTTACCACAAAGATAAATTTTCCAGAGCAGGGAGTGGATTTTTTAGCAGCATTAAAAATAGCTTGTGCGCGAAATTTAACGCATTTTGAGTTCATGGGCGAGAAATGTGTTATTTGTTTTATCAATGGACCATATATCTGCTGAAACTTTCATTTTTTGGCACTAATGTCTATTACGCATGCTTAATTCATGCATTTACCTAATTTGCATATTGTTATATATTGTTATTTACTTTTTTGTACACCCGGTAACCACCCGTATTCTAAAAGTTCACTCACACTCACACTCAATGAGTGGAAGTTCAATCTGAGCTTCTCTCGGCTGTCATTGCTGTTTTCGAATAGCTAAAGGGCTGGTGGGTACCTTACTATGTGATTACTCACCCTCCAGCTATTCAAAAACAGCATTGACACTCAAGAGAAGCTCAGAGTGATTGAGTATGAGTGTGCTTTTAGAATGCGGGCGTTAGTCTCTCTCGCTACCGTTGTGGTAGTGTGGAATTAAACGGAGTTGCGTGACAATCACAATTACGGCTGCGAGGGAGCTACTACTATATTTTTTCTGGTGTGACGCGAAATTCCTGACTTGCGAAATATCAGACTATTGCAGAACTGCCCATGCGCAGCGATGCGCATGGATGACTTTGGCTCATAAATTTCGCAACTCAACAGACAACACGTGTATTTATAAAGTCATTTTGTTGGATAATATTTATACATAAATTTTCAAATCTACAAATAATCAACTGAATTGGCACTATACCACTGGCACTGATTGCGATAATAAAGTTTGAATCGCAGATATGGAAAAAGTCAATCGAAAAGCGCTCTTTGTGATATAAAATAGACTTCAGTTTCAAAGGTGATGCTATATGCATTACTATATTAAGCACCAAAAATCGTTTCGCGTTTGACCTTCTCACTATTTAGTAAGCAGCAACAATGTGTTCGTGAGTTGGCCGTTTAGATTTGGCGATGTCTATATTAGAAACGCTTGGTAACATCGCATATGGACAATCGTTTCGACCGACCGTATTTAGCAAACGTCGTGTATTTCGCGGTCACGACCACACAATTCGCCTTGAAATTTAAAGTGTTTGTGATTGAAACTTAGCGATGTCGATTTGAAATATTTAACGAAGTATTAAAAATTAACATCATGATTATTTTATTTAAACTCTAAAAAACAGTTTTGGCCGACTTAGAATTTAGCAAGCGTCATGTATTTCGCGCCTGCACGTGCGAAATTTCTGACCCGTTACGCTTGGTCAGGTATTTCGCAGAGGTCTGGAATTTCGCTTATAATAATAATAATAATAATAATAATTATTATTATTATTATTATAATAATCTGTTTAATTAATCACATCGCAGTAGAGACTGAATTACATGATTATAAGTAAACACATTAAAAATTAAATTTACAAATAAAATTGAGTTCAAACCGTTCAATGTTCGTTCTGAATAGTCAGTTTAAATCTGTCCACAAATTATAATTGGGTACCTAAATATACACGAGTACTACTCAATCTATAATACATTAATAATTATATTTAACAGTTATAAAATTTTGAAACCGTTCTGTGTTCGTTTGAAGTGACCAGCTTGATTCGGACCT